ATTGTATTTTTCTGCTAAACGTAATAAAACCCCAGATAAGACACTGAATTTACAAGATGTTTGATGTGTCAGATGTAGTGTTATTTTATTTTTTGTACTTTAATCAGGTGAATCACGATGAAGATAATGATGCTGTTGTCTATGAAAACGTCAGAGCTTCTCCAGTTTGACCCTCCTGCCTCTGTCAGACTCAGCAGATCTAGAAGCTCCACTTCAGCAGGTTTATCTGATTTCCTCCTTCATTTTAGCCTCATTGAAACATTTTCTGTTCACTTATTAACCATTTTTGAACCAGAAGAGAATATTTAGGTTTTTATTTAAATCTTTGTGATTTTTTTGTGTCCTGCAGAGTCTGAGGAGAGCAATACTTCTCAGCTCCATCTTTACTTCCCTATAGTATTTTCACTGTATAGATTTTAAACATTTAGCCACCATTAAATCTGCCCTGAACTGTCTTTGCTAAACTTTGTTGTTTAAAGATTGTTAAAGACTCTATTTGTACTGTTATTTCTCTTAGTGTTTTATAACCCACAAAATGGAGGGATAGTAAAAAAAAATCCCCTGTTTTTTAATTAAAATACTTTATACTTTCAGAATAAAAGCCTGCCAGAAGTAACAGTAATAAAGTTTTTTTTTATTAGTTTATTTGGTATCTTTGCTTTATTTGACCCCCTGTTGTCACAGTTTCTGTTGTATAAATGTAATCTGAGACATTTAACCAACATATAACTTTTTTGTTATAATGGTATTTTTTCTGATTGTTTTAGACATGTTTTTAAGTGAGATAGATGGTAATAACTTCTGACATTCAATTTTAGACTTAGCATATCGTTATTGTCATTCAGGTCAGCATCACCAATACACACTGCTCAAAAAAATATATGGAACAAGGAAACGAAACAATGTAAATTCACTTAAATCAAACTTCTGTGAAATCATACCATCCACTTTGTATGTAACACTGATTGACAATCAATTCCCCATGCTGCTATACAAATAAGATATACAACAGGTGGAAATATTTATCAATAAGCAAGACACAGATGATAAAGGAGTGGTTCTGGAGGAGGGGTGCAAAGACCACTTCTCAGTTCATATGCTTTGTGGCTGATGTTTTGGTCGCTTCGGGATATTGGTGGTGCTTTCACACTTCTGGTAGCATGAGACGGACTCTAGAACTCACTCAAGTGGCTCAGCTGGTGTAGCTCATCCTGGATGGTACATCAGTGCGAGCTGTGGCAAGGTTTGCTGTGTCTGTCAGCGTAGTGTCCAGAGGGTTAGCAGGAGACAGGCCAGTACACCAGGAGATGTGGAGGAGGCCGTAGGAGGGCAACAATCCTGCAGCAGGACCGCTGCCTCTGCCTTTGCACAAGGAGGAACTGGAGGAGCACTTCCAGACCCCTGCAAAATGACCTCCAAGAGGCCACAAATGCATATATGTCTGCAGAGACTGTTAGACACCGACACCACAAAGATGGTATGAGCGCCCAACATCCACAGATGGGGTTCTGCTTACAGCCCAACATTATGCAGGATGCTTGGCATTAAACAGAGAACACCAGGATTGGCAAATTAGCCACTGGTGCACTGTTCTCTACTCAGATGAAAGCTGGTTCATATTGAGCAAAGTGACAGACGTGACAGAGTCTAGAGAAACCGAGGAGAGCAATCTGCAGCTGCCTACTACATTAATCAGCATGACCGGTTTGGCATAGGGTCAGCAATGGTGTGGGATGGCATTTCTTTGGAGGTTCCTACAGCACTCCATGTGCTTGCCAGAGGAAGCATGACTGCCATTAGGTACCGAGATGAGATCCTCAGACCCCTTGTGAGAACATATGCTGATGCAGATGGCCGTGGGTTCCTCCTAATGTGTAAGGAGCTAGTCTCAATATTCACACACTCAAATATGTGATCCACTAATTCACAAGACAATCAACTCACGCATGTACAAGATCCACACATACCAGAACAAGATCCACACATAAACAGAATATAATCCACACCTGCACAGAATGATTCAAACAAGCACATAAAATGTACATATTTACAAGACATTAACAAAAACCTTTCTTATGCATCAGATGAGTCTCTAAATTCCACACAAATGCAGTGAAGTTCAGACCAATAGTAGTTTACAAATAAACATATAATTGTGAATGCATCATAAATATTTTTTGTTAATCATGTCTTGTGAATGTGTATCTTCTATGTGTTTGTTTGAATCGTATTAACATGTGTGGATTTTGTCCTGTGCATGTATGAATCTTGTCGTGTTCATGAGTGGGTTGTTTTGTGAATGTGTGGATCAGATAGGAGAGTTTGTGAATACTGAAACTCCCAGAGCTCCATAAATGCCGAAATGTTGTATTAATAAAAAAAACACTTACATAAATAGATTTCTCCTTTCTAGATTAAAAACGAAATTTCCAAACTGATTATAAAAAAAAAACGTTTAGTTAGTTTTGTGCTGCAGAACATCAGGAAGTAAAATCAGCCTGAATTTCTAACTGAACAGCATCTCTACTGCCATCTAGTGTCAGCTTAAAGGTACTCAGTTTTCCCTTTGATAGTGA